GGGCGCGAGTGGGAAGCGCGGGCGCACGGCGGGGGCGGGGGGCTGCAAGGGCTGTCGAAAGGTTTTTCCCAGTACCTGTTCCCCTGCGCTTTGGCTGTGGGGGGATTGCCCAAGGCCCAGGCAAGCCCAACGGTGAGGGTTAGGGCTGGGGGGAAACAGCTGCTCCAGACACCTTCATATTCATTTTGGGACCCTCCTGAGTCCTTGTTTTATGAGGCAGTTGAAGCCAGGGATGGATTTGTCTATTCGTGCACCTCCCATCCTTCCGTGTACCTTAGGTGCCCCTGGAGCAGCTGTGGGTGCTTGGGCCCCACGCGGTGCTTCCCGAGCTCCCCTGGACAGCAGAGAGCCCGAGGGAGTTGCAGGGCTTTGCAGTCGCGGGCAGGAGGAGAAGGCGCGCTCCTGTCCTGGTGAGCAGCTTTTCTGCTCCTGCCTTTCAGTGTGTGCCAGGCTCCCTCCGCATGCCTTTTGGGGCTATGCTGCACCTTTTGTTCCTTACTGGTGTGCTCTGCATGCCTTTCAACACACGCTGGGGCTGTCTGTGTGCTTTTCTTGGGGGTCCTGGAGCTCCCTGTGTGCCTTTCAGTGTGCCCCAAGGGTCTTTAAGGGACTTTAAGATACTCGTAAAGACTTAAAGACAAAATTCCCTTTAAGAGCCGAAGTGGGCAGTGGGGATGGACCCTGGCCCAACTGGAGCGGCTGAGGGAGGGGGCCAGAACCCCAAGCTCCCTTGCCTAACTGAGTGGTGTGGGGGCACAAAACCAGAGTGGCTTTTCTGTCCCCACCCAATGCACATAGGCTCTGCAGCAACCACTGCTCCCTTGCCTCCCCCCACCCACAAACAGAGGCTTGGATTGCCCCTGTCGGCCACCCTGCCCTTCCCGGTGGAAATGCTTTCTTCCATGCAGTGAATGGAAATGAAGAGCAAAGCTGTCACCAGGGAGAAGCAGCCCCTTCTGGCACAAGCTTTTACCCTCTGCAAGGGGATAAGAGCTGCAATGACATGGCTGCCGGCAGGCCCCTTTTAACTCCAGCAGCGCAGCAGTGAGCTCTTTCCCACACAGGAGCTGCAGGACAAGCTGGGAAGGGGTGGTGGTGGTGAGGTGGCACGTCCTTCTGAGAGCTGTTAGCATAGATTAAATAAATAATAAATAGATGGATTAAAACAAATGTCACCTTGTCTCCGTTGTGTCTTGCTCCAATTTTTATTTCAAAGAGCAAAACCAACCCAGTGCAGTGCTACTTCATTTCTGGGTGAATTCTCAGCAGAGTGAGTGACCTAGCAGCTTCACAACAAAGCAGCTGACTAATTGTCAGACAGAAGCTCTCTGGTCAGCAATTTCAGACAGCGTGGGAGCTCCTGCTGTGCAAAGACCGATACAGACGATGTGTATGATGGGATGAACTAACTAATTCACAGGGCAGAAAATACAGGTGGTCCCAAGGTCTCTCTCAGGTAGCTCTGGCTCAGGATGAAGGAACTGATCAAACTGGTTATATAGATAATTTTAAATAGTCATCAGAAACTTTTCCTGCATGTGCAGGAATGGTCACACAGATCTGTCTTTTGTACAGAGCTAAGATAGTTAAGTATGTTTAGGCACAGACTTTTTACTGTGGTTTTCCTTTCTCTCATCACTGGTGGGACTTCTGGGCACCAGTGTAACAGAAAGGAGAATGAACTCAAGTTAAAGTACTCACTCATGTCAGTGTATTAGTCTCCTGAAGCAGAAGAATCCACTTTTTGGATGTATGTATAGACACTCATTCATGAAACGACTCCAGCTAAAAGATTCACTTGGTGCAATTTGTGTGTGCTTCTAAGTTGCCAAATTCTGTTCCTTTCCCATTAATTCCTGAGTTTTGAGCAATCAACAGACAGATACAGCAACCATTTCTTCAGGACTAAGTTTGCTGGCTGTTTACTGAACCCAGAATAACTGTACTTTCCACAGGTGGCCTTTGACTTGTCAATAGGAAGTACCTTGAAATTGTCTGTTTTCTGACTGGAACTGTACTAATTTTAGAGGCTTCAATTTAACCACCTCTGCTACACTGTAATTATCCACATTGAGAATTGTTGAGTTAGTTAAAGATGTGTGATTAGATCCATTTCTCTGAAAAAAATCTGTCATTGATTGAAGCAGGGATAGTGAAGACCATATTTTGTACGAATCAAAATGTCACTTTGGCCAGCAAAATACCTTTAAATATCTCTACAACTGCAGAAGCATGGACTCAAAACAGGCCCCTCTGGAGCTCAAATCCACCAGCATCTTTCTTTGTACATCCTTGTATTTGCTTTTTTCACACATGTATTTTTGAATATATTTCTTTTCTATTTTTGTGTCTTCTGAGTGTTACCTGCTGGCTGCCATGACCTATGGTCGGTACTTGGTCATGTGCCAACCCCTGCTCTATGCAAGCCTCATGAATTGGAATTTCTGTCTCCAGGGTCTTGGGTAGGAGGACTGCTTATATCTACAGTAAGAACTGGCTGCTTATCGCAGCTAAAGTTCTGTGGCCCTAATGCGATTGACTACTGTGATTTTACCCCATTGCTACAGCTCTCCTGTAATGACACCAGGATGATAATACTGATTGCTTTTGTGCTGCCTTTCCTGGATGCAGTTTCCCCATTTCTATTTGTTATGGCATCCTGTGTCTGTATTAGAGTTGCCATTTTAAGGATCCCTTCCGATGTGGGTGGGCAGAAGGCCTTCTCCACCTGCTCCGATGTGGGTGGGCAGAAGGCCTTCTCCACCTGCTCGTCTCCCCTCACCATGGTCACTGTTTTTTATGGGACCCTCATTATTGTTTATGTGATGCTGAGAACGGCCCCATGGAGATAGCTAAACAAGGTATTCTCTTTTTTTCTGCACTGTCCTCATCCCTAGTCAATCTACTCATCTATAGCCTGCAGACAAGGAGGTCAAAGAGCTCATACTAGTTTTGCATCTACTATTCTCGTTCTAGTGCTAACTGAGAAAGAGAACATGGAACAGAATCTGTTTAGTATGTTTGATTATGTGATAAAAAGGTCAGCTCCACACACAAATCAGAGCACAGAGAAACAATGGCACAGAGGGGAACCGGAGTAATACCCTCACCCAGCTACTCCCAGACCCATCACCGGAGAGTGATCAGCCCATGAAAGGCTTATCTCCACAAACACAAAGGAGCACAGAAGAACAATGGCAGATGGGGAAACTCCAAAAACCCAGTTAGAGAAATGGATACCCAGCGCTGTCACAAGAGAGCCATCAGACCCCGTGTCCAGATCACCTCACAGACTGAAGGGGGTTACTGCCTAAGGGGTAGGGGACAGATGGGATGCCAGGAGAGGAGCATTTGGGTATTGCACAGGACTTTTTTGGGAGGTATAGGGGAGGAACTAAAGGTGGAGAAAG